GGGTCCTCTCCCTGGTCTCCAGCAGGCCAGGGAGAGGAAGCAAAGCAGCGGAACACGCGGGCAGCCCAGACGCGTCTGGGCTGTCCGCTGCCCGCATGCTCCACAGCTTTGCTTGCTCTCCCTGGTCTGCTGGAGACCAGGGAGACGGGCCCTGTTTGTAACTGCGGATCCGACATAAGTCGGATCCGCGTAACTCGGGGACTGCCTGTATATGTAAGGCTGCTCATGTAGACCAATCTCTGCAGCGTCTACAGTACACTGCAGCTTCCATTGATGTAACTTGCACACTACACCGACTTGAGAACGTCACTTCTGTGAGAGGCATAGGCCTTAGGTGGATGTAGTTTCAGTGCAGACACAATGTTGCTGATATTGACTGTTGAGGCCTTTCCAAAGCTGCCTCACAACATCCTGCACTCACAATACAAATGTTACAAGTGCACCTGATGAGGACGGGCACTACCAATGCAAGGAGAGTAGCTTAGACATGCAAATGGATTTAATTGCGGTGGTGGCTGTATGTTGACGTTACTTAGGTTGACGTAGTTTTGCAGTGTAGACCTACCCTAGGGATTGTGTTAGCTGAGCTACACCGTCAGGGGTGATGTAACTATGCCAGGCCCTAGTCATTTATTCCGATTTACATTATACCAGCTGCTAGCCGAATTTAGCTAAACCAAAATTAACATGGTTTGAACTAAGAGTGTCCAGGCAGCCTTTTGTGCTAGTTTAATTAAATTGGTTGAAAGCCACGCCTTAAATTAAACCAGCGCAGCTGAGTGCAGAGACAAGTCCTAAGGGAGTCTATAATCCTCTAACTCAAACAAGGGACAGGAATACAGTGGAAAATCAAGCAATCCCCTTCTTACTTTAACTTACATTTTGTAACATCTGCAGGTTCCCTGGTGCATAAGTAACATTAACTCTGGGCTGGTCTATACTGGGATCTTACATCGGTCTGTCGGGGGTGTGAAAAATCCACACCTGAAAGATAGAAAGGAAACTTTCCCCAAGGCTAGGCCAGCCTAAACCCTGGTGTAGACAGTGCTAGGTTGACAGAAGAATTCTGTTAACTACCAACTCCCAGGGAGGCAGATTACCTACGAAGACAGGGGAACCGCTCCTGCTGATGTAGATAGTGTCTGTGCAGAACCCTACACAGCTGCACCACCATAGCACTTGAAGTGTAGACATATCCTTAACCTCCTTTCTCAGAAACGTTCCTGCTCATACACAAATCTGTATGATGGGAAAATCCTGCCCCCACCAAAGTGAATGCAAACCTGCCATTAATGTCAGTAGAGGCAAGATTACACCCAAGTGGATTAGGTCCAACCCACTCTGAATAGAAACGTGTTACTGCCATGCCCTTCTCTTCATTTAACTCCCCCCTGCAGCACTGTGAATCGAAAGGGTGAGAGTACTGGGCTGGTTCCTCCTGAGAATCAGGGGCGGGAGGGACTGACTAAAACAAAGGTGAAATTGAGCCAACTAGCAAAGTCCACATCCCAGATAGAGAGAAGCACAAAGGACGGGAACCAGCTGCCTGAAGAGCAAAAAGAGTAGAATTTTAAACATTCTTTTCCTTGTGAGGATGTCAGTGGGGTCAACAAACTCGCCAAGCCCCATGGCAAGGCAGGGGAGGGGCGGGGCCTCAGACAGAAGGGGCGGGGCTGGAGCTAGCTTCTCCCAGGTGTCCTCAGTGATGCCCAGAGCATGCCAACAGGGTTCCAGCAGCAATTTAAAGGGCCTGAGGCTCTGGCCACTACCATCCAGCAGCAATTTAAAGGGCCTGAGGCAGCAGCTGGGAGCAGCAGCAGCTGGGAGCCCCAGGCCCTTTCGAATCACCAGGCCCTGGGGCAGTTGCCTCTTTTGCCCTCCTGTCAGGAGCCTGATGGACGTATTGCAAACAGTGAACAATAACTCAGGTGGGGAATTGTTTTCCATGTCACTGGGCCATGCACACTGATGGCAATCCCATAGAACCAATGGGTTGCTATCGGGGCAGAAGCTGAGCCATGTGTTCTTGGGTTGGAAGCAGTCTTTTCAGAGAAGAATTTCTGCTGGGAGTCAGGAGTTCTGGCTGCCTGATTTTTGAGGGAACGGCAAGCAGTTTGTTTTTAATCTGACAAGTAAACCACAAAAATCTCTCTCTGAAAACCTACCCCACAAAACAACTTTATTCTCCAATCAGGAAAGAATCATCAGTAATACATGACAATGGGAATCTGTTTTCCAGGGGTGAGGTGGGGGCACGTGAAGAGGGACTTTTTAATAGAAATGGCTAAGGGTGTGTTTTTTTAAACTGATGGGTAGAAATGGACTGTGCAAGAGCAGCCAATATGCCAGGTAGGGGGAAGGAGAAGTCTGTAACTGCACCTGCCTGCACTTTGTTTGTCCCTTGGATAAAGAACTAGCTCAAGTTACCGGAGTGTGTTGTGTTCAAACCTTTCTTGCCCTGCCCCTCCCTGAGCAGCAGAATCCAGGAGAAACGTGAAGAGAAACAAACCATTTTCAGCAACAGCACAGCCAACAGAGCAGGGAATTTAAATAAATAAATACAATTCTACTCAGAGAAAAGGGAATAAAGGACGTGCTTTTCTGCTCCTCCTCTCATCCCAGAAACCTGTGTGCTATGTAAATATATGCAGATGAGGCAATGAAGGGGGAAAAAGGGAAACCAGGTCTATAAAATGGCATGTTTTCAGATTGGAAATAAAGACGGGGGGAGGGAGGGAGGGAAAGGGTTGTTGAAAAGTTTATGCAGAATTCATTAGGAAGTAAGTGATGTCCGTACTCATCTAATAGAATCATAGAACTGGTAGGAACCTTGAGAGGTCATCAAGTCCCCTCCCTTGCACTCATGGCAGGACCAAGCACCATCTAGACCATCCCTGATAGGTGTTGTTCTAACCTGTTCTTAAAAATCTTCATGGATGGAGATTCCACAAGCTCCCCAGGCAATTTATTCCAGTGCTTAACCACCCTGACAATTTAGGAAATGTTTCCTAATGTCCAATCTAAATGTCCTGTGTTGCCGCTTAAGCCCATTGCTTCTTGTCCTATCATCAGAGGCCAAGGAGAACAATTTTTCCTCACTCCTCCTTGTAACACGCTTTTAGGTACTTGGAAGCTGCTATCATGTCCTCTCTCAATCTTCTCTTTTCCAAATTAAACAAACCCAATCCTTTCAGTTTTCCCTCATCGC